CCTGTTTTTTTTGTTTTTTGTCTTTTTTTTTTTTTGTTTTTTGTGAGTGTGGAGATGTACAATTAGTTAGGTACTTATATGTTTTGCCATAAATATGAAAGATCGGATAATATTATATGTGTAAAGACATAAATAATGTAATTAAATACTGAGATAGTCTTCGAACGCAGGCATAAGTGGTTGCACAGATGGACATGAGAATAGGGACAAATACGTAGGTAGAGATATATATAAGTGCAAATTAACGTATGTGGGTAGATAGAAGTCTGTAGATTGCGTATGCATGTGTGTGTGTGTGGGTATACATATGTGAGTGCGTATACATATATGGGTGTGTGTATGTATGTGTATATGTGTATACGTATGGATGTGTAGATATATATATGTGCGTACGAGTATATATGGGTATGCAGATGTCCTTGTGTGTGTATATATATATATATGTAAGTATAAGTATACATGGAGACAAGTATGGAGACATGTGGATGTGCGTTCTCTCTGCAGGGGTATATGTGTAAAGATGGAAATATACATATATCGTTTCGTGGGAATGTGTGTAGGTGTATATAGGAACTCATAGACATATAAGACGATATAGGTATGTGGTTACAAATAGGGGGTTGAGACATGTGTAGATAAGAAAATATAAAAGAAGGGCCTAAAAACAACCACGAGTTTACTTAATGAACAAAAATCAAAAACAATCACAGGTTCACTTAATGAACAAAAAATCAAACGAATAAATGTCAACCTAACAAGCTATAGGATAAAAGCTTTAGTGGAAAAAAGTACTAAGTATAAATTGGATTACTCTTTCAATGTTCTGCCTAAAGATCTTTCCAATCGACTGCTTCATGGGAAATACCCAAAACTCCACCGAATTTCAAATTAATTTCTTCGTAGATTGTTTTTAAAATTTTAGATATTTATCAAACCTTAACCTCCCAAATATGCACGTTAAAGTAACGCGAACTGACAGCGTCTAGGAATTTGAATGAAACCTGTCGGATAATTTATTGGGGATGTTATAACGCGTCTTCCTCACTGTAGCCTTTATCGCCCACCCCTTAACCACCTTTATCTAGAGACGAGACGCGTTAGATTAGAGCAACATCCAGCCGAAACACTGGGGTTAAAATAGAAAACTAAAATGATACATATGACACAATCACATCCTCTCTCCCACCTCACTTCCTCACTTCGTTAACTTTGCGTATATTTGATGAGGTCCGTAAAAAACGTGTGAATTTTCTTTTCATTCTTCATTTCAGCTTTTGGAAGTAAAGTCTGATGATCCAGAACCCTGTTAAAGGGGTTATGGTGAAATAGCTTATTACATGGAATCTTAACGTAGTCTGTCTTTTATTCAAACATATATGCTCTGAATCTTACACTGAGCTCTCTGGATATCATCCTCCTCAGGTCTACCCATACGGATTACCTAAATTTGAATAAACTATATATATATATATATATATATATATATATACTGTTATAAGTTATTATTATAGACACAAATAATTGTGTCCATATAAATAGGGTATAACAAATAAAATATATTAAAATATTTGTCGGACCATTTCATAATATATGAAGTCATACACACATACACACGCACACATATATGTATGCAAGTATGCATGTATATATATTATAAGATAAAAATTCTTGCTATTAATACTAGCAAATAATATACGGGAATTATTAAAATAGAATAAAGTAATTTTTAATCATTTTAGCTATAAGCAGGGCGGGATACCCTAGTATGCACCAATTTGCAGGGAATTAATATGAAAGAAAAGACTGGGAATAAAGAGAAATATCTATCTATCTATCATTTATTCGAAAATTATAATAACATAAATATGTTATAAAATCACTACATCCACTGGGTGTTGACTTCAGTGTCCATGTGTTAGTGAGTGTATGTATCTCGCTGTTTTTGAATTTTTAAAGAGATAGAGCGTATGTAAATATAAATATAAAAGTGAGCATTGAAGTCAACACTCAGAGGCGACAAGCTGTTTAATGCTGGACGCCATCGTCAGCGGCCTGACTATTGCGTCCAGCATGAAACAGCCTGTCGCCTCTGAGTGTTGACTTCAATGTTCACTTTTTATATATATATATATATATATATATATATATATATATATATATTCGAAGGTTAATTTTTTTTAGCTATCTAATAGTTTTCTATTCTTCTTATCTTTATAAGTTTCAATATCACTCATTTCATTCGTTATCATCGTTTTGACGTTTTGATGTATCTTGAATGACTCTTGAACTATGTACTACATGAAACATAGATAGATAGTTTTGTAGAGGAAAAAGCATGTGAAAAGCGAAGAAAGAAATAATCTTCAAACACGGATCTACAAATTTAAATAAATTTTATTTTTGAGTTTTTGTTTTCTTTTAAATTGAAAGAAATGAATTCCAAAGATTATTTGCGAAACAAATTCACGCAAAATATTTTTTCTTTCTTTACAATACAGTTGAATCATTTTCGTTAGTATGATAGAAGAAACAGGATCTGTCTGCATAAAGAGAATGTCATGTATTTACGTTGTTTTATTAATACCTGTAATTTTCTAGCACTAGCAGTCCACAGTGTGCTGTATTTACGCTGTTTTATTAATGTGTGTAATTTTCTAGCAGTAGCAGTTCACGGCTGGGAAGGCTATGGTATAACTACTGCTGACGTTTTCTTTACAAAGCTCTGTTCATATGTTTCAAGTGTGCTTAATTTGCTTTAAGATCGCTAGGCTCTGTCAGAAGTTACTCGAATAAAATATATGAAAAATTTGAGAATTCAGCTTGTCTACAACAACGCATAATCAAACCTGGTCAAAGGTTCAAGGAAAAACTGAAAGTTGAATATTAAATTGACATCAAGAATATTTATGGGAAATAGATAGGCTCGAAGAAGCTAAAATTAGCTTTCTCAGCTTAGAAGTTTATTGGTTAATAAATATTTTTCCAAGTTTTAAAAATCTATTTTGAGGCGAGAAGGTATTGTCGATCATTGTTTCACTAATTGGTTAATATATGCGAACGGGGAAATTCAAATCGTAGTCTACTTTGTGCATAAGAATGAGTCATTTTTGAGTTTTAGTGATATTACTTAAATCTATTGAATTTTTCGACAATTTTTAACTATCAAATAGATAGAGACAGACTGGAATAGATAGATTGATAGATAAATAGAAACAGACTTAGAAAGAAAGAAAGAAAGAAAGAAAGAAAGAAAGAAAGAAAGAAAGAAAGAAAGAACTAGGCTGGGATAGATAGATAGATAGATAGATAGATAGATAGAAACAGAGTGGAAAAGAAAGAAAGAAAGAAAGAAAGAAAGAAAGAAAGAACTAGACTGGGATAGATAGATAGATAGATAGATAGATAGATAGATAGATAGATAGATAGAAACAGACTAGAATAGAAAGAAAAAAAGAAAGAAAGAAAGAAAGAAAGAACTAGACTGGGATAGATAGATAGATAGATAGATAGATAGATAGATAGATAGATAGATAGATAGATTAGAAAGAAAGAAAGAAAGAAAGAAAGAAAGACAGAGACTGGAATAGATAGATGTATACGCATGTGGCATTTTGTTATCGTCACCATCATTTTCTCTTTTAGTAGTTTTTAAAAAATATGGAAATGCCGACAGAATACGATAGTAGAGAACATCTTCCAGATATATTAAATTGTCCCCTGTCAAGGTTGATAACAGGATTAACAGCTTTGCTATTTTATATCTACCTTACGAAAACAGATATACGATAAAGATGACTATATGTTAAAATAAATTTATCATATGGTCATCCTGATAAGGTAATCCATACTTGTCGACCTAATGAGAACGAGGAAATTCTATCAGAAATTTTCTGATGTTCATTTTGGGAGAAAAGCTTTCGACCTTCTTTAAGTCATCATTAGGGTAGATATACACAATGTTGAGTTTCGTGGAACTAGTGAGTTGTAGGCGAAGAGTGTTGTGACGTAGGCAAATAGTGTTGTGACGTAGGCAAATAGTGTTGTGACGTAAACGAATAGATTAAAATGGAATATATAGGTTCGATTTCAATCGAGGGACGTATTTCCGTCAATAAGATTTTCTAGATATTATCTTTACTGATAACTAAGAACTAAATATGTATACTTACTTAATAAGCATTATTTACATTATTCGGACTATTGTCCTCATCTTTGTCGCCATATTTATTACAACGATTCGGCCGTTGTACCCTCCGGCCTTGTTCAGGTGTTTGGAATGTCGAACTGAACCCTTTATTTCGCTCACTGGGGTAGACTGTTCTAGTTCCATGTGCCATGTTTAATGGGTGTCAGTTATCAGTTATCTCCTGTTAATTTCTCTCTGAAAGTTCTCCACTGCCTTAACCGGGTATTGAACTCACACTCTTTGGGTCCTGTCACTGGATCTAACTAACGCATTTATCCACTGTGCCATGAGTACTTGAATGGATAAAGGCATTCCGTTCGAATGTCTTTCTAGAACAGTCTACCCCAGTGAGCGAAATAAAGGGTTAAGTTCGACATTCCAACCACCTGAAGAAGGCCGGAGCGTACAACGGCCGAAAAGCTGTAATGAATATGGCGACAAAGATGAGAACAATAGTCCGAATAACGTAAATAATGTACATAATACCTCATCTCTGAAATATAGACAGTTACTTAATAAAATTGTTTATGTTTTTACATTGCAGAATATCGAAACAGACAGTTAAACCGACCGGAAAAACGTCCGGCAAGGTGAATAGAGAAAAAGGACTGGCGCGTGTTTGGTGTTATCTACCCTAAACGTGTCTTCAATTTTGGATCAAGAGAGGAAAACATCCATCCCAGATCGTTTCAGTATACGACATCCGATTGCCCTGTTTGGCTTTTATGGTGTGCCGGAAGTGGAGGAATATTTCATCGAAGTTTCTGTTATGAAAGCGAGGCTTCAGACGACAACATAGGCTGGCTTGTTTTAAAATCTTTTTTTTTTCTTTGACAAAGATTATATTAAAAATATCGGTTGTTGCAAACAGTAAAACACATGCCTTGTAAAGAAAACTTTGAAATGTATTTTAATAGGATGCTGTAAGATGGAAAGAGGCGAGAGTCTGTCTTATTAGCTTAACAGACGAACATTCTTTAATTGTAAAAAAAGAAAAAACTGAAAATGAAATGGAAATCGCTATGTTAAATGCCAAAATAATCCTTTGAATTTTGGTCAAAAAGTTTTACATTCCGTTTGAATGTCTTTTGTTGATTGGACACAAAGAACCACCATTTTGTTTTTATTTTATTTTATCAGAGAGTATATTTAGTGCCGTTGGCAAAAGGAACGTCCTTATATAAAGATTGTGAAGCGCACAAAAGAAATCAACTTTGAAATCACAATATTGGATTTATCAAAACCCACGTTAAGTAGCTAGCAATAATATGATCATTCCGAAAATGACATACGCACACAAAACTTATATAGTTAGAAATTATATATATATATATATATATATACGCACAGCAATGCACACATTCACAACGACACAAACAATTACCCCTCACACACACAGACATGTTATGAAACATCAATGACAAAATAGAGGAAAAATTTTCGTGTGACGAGTTTCCCCCTTGAGGACTTGATCGGACTAAAAAATGATGTTTACTTTGATGTTTACTTTGATGTTTACTTTGATGTTTACTTTGATGTTTACTTTGATGTGATTACACATACGCATGAAGGAGCGGGGTACGGTGAAATTTAAACTTTTAAATATAATTTTTTTTAAATTTTTTTTTTATTGTATAGAAACTGCTTTAATCGCCAGATCATCCAAAGCAAATTTGCATCCGACACTTTTCTTGTCAAACTTTCTATTACCACAATGAGCGACAATTAATAAGAAAATTGATAAAAACTAAAGAAAGAAAGAAAAAGAAAACTAAATGACGTTGACTAGACAACATATCGAAATATATATTTAAAAAAAAAATGCATTTAGAGTTCAAAATGTCGGCGTTTGTGTCCCACGTGCGCATGCGTAATCACATCAACACAAAAAATGCATCATTTCGATGAAGTCCTTAAGGACGAAACGCATATTATTTTTTTATTCAAATTTGACATCCATTTTCCTAACATTGTTTTGCTATATAAAAATGTATGTATCGTTTTCACACACACACACACACACACACACACACACACATATATATATATATATATATATATATATATATATATATATATATATATATAAACATAAGTGGATGGTGAAAAGTTTTCGGATCGACCCATTTACTCAGATCAATGTTTCAATAACATCAGAATACTGTATTTGAGAAGTGTACCAATTTGATAGCACACACACACACACACACACACATATATATATATATATATATATATATATATATATATATATATATATATATATATATATATATATAAGTTAATCCGACACATGTTTATTACTCAAAAGTTTCATTAATTAGACGATCTTTTAATTTTAAAGTGTCTATCTGCTTCTTTAAAATAAGCGCATCTACTCAAATCAAATACAGGTATCAACAAAAGATAACGTTTGAATCAATATATAAAGGGTGTTCTAATAACTTGGAACGATTTTAAATGAGGATTAAGTTCAAGCGTCTAATATTTTTTTTTATTTTTCTTTCAGATTTAACAACTTAAGTCTTTGGCAATTTCAACCATGGAAAGATTAACAATCAAACAACGTGTTAAAGTTTCAAAAGTGCAATTGGGAAAATTGTTCGTAAATTCAAACAAACTGGGTCGGTGGCAGGTGTGAAACCACCATTGCGTGCTCGTTTACGCCCTTCAGCTGAAAACATTGCTGCAGTACACGAGATTGTGGCCGAAAATCCAGACATCCATCGTTTCCAATTGCACTCTCGGTTGGTCGATTATGTTGACCAAAAACATCGCAAAGTGCGCGAAATGCATTTCTGTTTGAACGTCCATTTTCGTAATAAGCTTCAATAACTTTAACACGTTGTTTGATTGTTAATCTTTCCATGGTTGAAATTGCCAAAGACTTAAATTGTTAAATCTGAAAGGAAATAAAAATCATTAGACGCTTAATTCACATTTAAAATCCCTCCAAGTTATTGGAACACCCTATATATATATATATATATGTGTGTGTGTGTGTGTGTGTGTCTGTGTGTGTGTGTGTCTGTGTGTGTGTGTCTGTGTGTGTGAAATTGGGACCAAATATACATCAAAGATGGATTCGAAAACGACAGAATGATAGAATAAGGAACAAATAAAAAATGTTTATTCTTTTAACATGTTTCGCTTTTATTAAAGCTTCATCAGAGAATGAAATTCTATTTTTGATTTTAACAACACAAAAAATAAAAGTTTTAAATTTAAAATTTTCTTTTTCTGCTCCATATTTCATTCTCTGACGCAGCTTTAATAAAAGAGAAACATGTTAGACGTATGACCATTTCCTGTTT